AGAATTAATAAACAAAATAAGCTGAGATTACAACATAGAACTACCATTACCACCTTATAAATGTCTCCTGAACTTCCTGATATGGACCCAAGAGTACAGCAGTATGACTGAAGGGTCTGTCATGTAAAAGAAAAACAGACCTGGTAAGAGAGGAGATGGGCCAGTCCTGGAGATAAAGCATTAGAAAGTTAAATTTAAATACCCAGCTGGAGGAACATATAATGAATACATAATGCAAAAAACAAGGAGAGCAACTGAGCAGTGTTGGCGGGCACCACATGCTCACACTGAGCAGAGGGAGGAAAATGGATGCATTCCGGATACACATCTTCAAATTGTGAGTACACATGAAGGGCAGCAACGGAAGGAGGGGAGAGGCATTGTCGGCATAGCACCTAAAAACCTCCAGTTGAATTCAGTTGAAGCATTTGAAAGGTTTGTTTGTTTTTCTCATTTGCTTACAGTCTATTCAGAGGCTAGAAAACAAAACTGGGAAAACTGCTAGGCTGGCTTTCATTTTAGAGCAAAGGGAGACACAGACTTAGGAAGTAAAGGGGGTAGGTGTGTGGAGAACAAGTGGGCATTGTTATTTGAAAGTTCATGAAACTCAGTAAGGAAAAAATGGCATAAACAACTCAGCACTTTAAAAAAGTTTAGAAATAAAAAGGCTAAGAATTCTAGAAGAAAAGACTCAATACTATCGAACTGCTAAAAACAATTTAGTTCTGACTGTGCCATCTTACAAAGAAGACCATCAAAAAAGGGAAGGCTTAGAGGTACCACAACAGAAGCCAACCTTGTAAGGGGCCTGTATAGAAGATATAAAGGACTCTGACTAAGGGGAATGAATACGCACCTGCATGAGCAGTATCAGGAAGGGCAAAGCCCAAACCAATGACCTGCTAAAGACAATAGAAAGCCTTGTTTTAAGAAGAAAAAAAAAGAGTGTTTTTAGAGAGTCAAAAGTGTTGACTTAATTCTCTAACTGCCTCTGGCAAGTGCAAAAACTTAGGATATCAGTCCTCCAGAGTGCTTGCTAGCAGCAAATGAATTTTAAGGAATCAGGAAATCAAGTGACTTGCTGGAAAACTGGAAACTTTCAAACTGTCCTCTTCTGGATTTCAAAATGGCATTTTTTTTAAAAAGAGAATTAGATGGACTCTGATTTATTGATTTATTGAATTTGGGGGGTCAATCTTCTAGTGGGTTATGGGAAAATAGAAGCTAAAGTGGACTGCACTAATTGTCATGGCTTATCATGTAACTTGTTGTGACACACTGGCACTGGACAGACCCACACTTCAGTGAGGTTTCAAAAACCTTTCTTAGGATAGTCTTGTGACAAGACATAAAATACAGGTTAAAGGCTGAATTAGGCCAACTGGCACCTGAATGAGTTTAGAGATATGGCCATTGTCATGTATAAGTGTGGTAAATATACCTTATTAACCACATCTGAGGTGTGGACAAGAATATGGGTAGCATAGACATGTATGGAGAAATGTGCTATCTAATTCTGTGGGTCCCCACTGAACATCTGGCCTCTGATGTTCTTCCTACTCAGATGAAAGAATCATCAAGACTGTGTACTTCAGATGTTGACACTCAGGAATGGTCATCCAATATGGCACAAAGGGGCTGTTGGGGTGGGAGTGAGGGAAATGTTGTAAAAACTATAAGACAAGCCCAAGGACGGGACAGACCTTATACCAAAGGCTGTGTGTTACAGTCTCTGTGAAGAGAGGGAGCCTTGGAGCCCTCATGCTCACCTTCTGCACATCATCTTCCATCTGTGCCACTCTCCTAAGGAGTTCTGTGTCTATGAGCTCACTGACCTCATGTGCTTTTCTCTCCTTTCTCTTCCTTCCCACAGTCTGTTCTGAATATGATCAGTGAGCTGCAAGAGCAGATGTGTAGGCTGCAGCTGGACATCCACAGGCAGATTCAAGCCCGCCTGTTACTCAATAGGGACCACCCCAAGGAGGAGGTGGTGGCTGGTGACTGCGTGGCCGAGCCCCAGCCCTGCAGCCAGGATTGTGCCCCTGGGGAGGGGTCACCTGTAGGAACCACACTTAAGTATATCAGAGCATGTGTGTGGGGGCCATTTTACTGGTGGAGGGCTGGGGTTTCTCCTAACCGGAACAGAGTGATGTGGTTTAGCATGGATCTAGTATTACCTTGAAGCACAGCTTGGACTCACTCAGGCCTCTAGAGATGTGAGGGGGAACTCTGGGGAACCCCAGTAAGTAAGGTCTGAGCAGATAGGGTCAGCCTTCAGACAGGTAGTGACAATTATTTCTCCCATAGCTGGAAGCAAAGCAGGTCAGATGCTCGGAGTGTTGGGACATCTGTGCCAAAGGACACAAATGAAAAAGACACAAAGGAAAAGTCCTGGGCTTTTGAGGCATATGAGGCAGATGATTCAGAACTTCTTCTCTCAGACTTCATTTCATGTGACTTTCTTTTTTCCAAATAGCATCATGGGAAGGAGTCCCTACAACTTTATGTTCAAAGAGGTTTATCCCCAGGGACAAAACAAAGAACAAATTTCCATTTATTATGAACAATTACATCATCATTTGTATTTCCAGGGGGGAAAAATCTCCCACATAATCATATTAGGGTGATTTCACAACCTCTGGGCCATGTTCCAGAGAAGTCACAAGAGCCTGAACTGTATTGTGTCCCATGGTGGCAGCCCTCAGGCAGTAGTATCCTACACATTTCCAGTTTTTTCCTCAGCAGACATGATGCCCTCTGTGGACAAAATAAATACCCTGGGAAGATTCAAGCAAAACAGAAGACCCTCCCCCATATTCTGGCTCTCAGAGAGAGCCAACAATCCTCCTAGAAAAGGATTCTGAATCTGCTTTAAGTCCAAACATATGACCTAGACTGCACATCCAATGATGCTGGACATGGTCACAGTAGCCTTAGTTTATAAGGCTATTTTTTCTTATAGATATTAACAGATGCTCACTTCAGCTATGATAAGGCAATCATAATAAATTACTCCATAAAAATCAAGTGAATTTGAATTCACAGCAGATTGTCCCAGAGCGCAAATACCTCCAAGCCACTTAAATAATGACTGGAGTGTCAGGTATTCATCCATAAATCATTCCTATCCACCATGTGGAAGGACTTGCTCAACAATCTGAGTTTCACAAACACCCCATGAAGTTTACAGAATAGGTGGGGATTCAGCTACTAGCAACCATACAAATAGACATTTGGTTGGAAACTGGGTAGGAGATACATTGCAAAAGGAAATGATAAGTACATAGGTTGGGTCCTGAAGGATGGGCAAGGAGTTATGCTTGTGGAAAGTTACATTCAGAGGGAATAGTATGTGTGTGTGTGTGTGTGTGTGTGTGTGTGTGTGTGTGCATGTGTGTGTGTGCATGTGTGTGCGTGTGTGCATGTGCACATGCGCATGTGAGTGCATGTGTGCATGTGTGTGAAGGCCCAAGCTGGGAAGAGGAATTAAAAATTCTCTGGAGGCCTAGAAAGAGAAGGAACACACAAGGGGCAGATGAGGAGCTGGGGCAGGCCAGGATATCCTGGTTATAGATAAAGTTTATAAGGTTTGAGAAGCAAGGGAATGTCAAGATCAGATGTGTATTCGAATCCTGATTTTCCCATGAACCTGTGGGAAAAATCAGTGGATTCAAGACCACAATGGAGAAACCAATGAAGAAACTGTCCTGTTACCAACCCTCATTGCTACCGAGGGGTTACAGCAGTAGAGCAGAGAGAAAAGAGGCATTCTAGGAACTTTTCTTTGTAGGTAGAAATAAGAAGTCTTGGAAATAAATCACAAATGTAGGGAGAAGGGAGGAAAATACCAAGAATGGCTTGGACCACGTTTTCTGGCCCAGTCAATGAGATGGATGGAGATGCCATTTAGTAGGAGACAGATAACCTTTTGGGGAGAGTTGGGGATTTAGAGTTCTGATAGTCCTTACATGCCTGTAGAATATCCACATGCAGATTTAAAGTCAGAAGTTTGTTGTTGAATTTGACAGTTAGAAAACTTATGGAAATAATGACCTTTATGGCAATTCTTCTGATAGGAACTAGTCAACAGGCCAGTTGCCCATTGGCAGTGCTCTTCTTTACTGGGGTAATTTAAAAGCAGAAGTCCTAGAGTAAGAAGAAATTTCAGTTCCAATTTCATTACATACTAGATGCATGAACTAGGGAGATTTGTTTAAACTCAGCAACCTTTACTGATTTCATGCTATCCAAACAATGGTCTCCATATTCTCCAAGCCTTTACACATCTGCTAATACTTTACGCATCTGCTCCAGCCCTATAGCTTGTCTATTTGCCTCCAATCTTTGCTTATTCCTGCCTGTCTTCTCCTATCTTTCTTCAAACTATCTTCCACCTCTGGAAGTGGGTACCCATACTGGAGCCTACATTTGGAAGTAGCATTTGTTGTCTGGGTGTGTTTCATTTCTATCCTACTGGCTGTTGCTTCTTCTGTGAAGCTTTCTAAGATCACCCTCTCTCCTCCTCATCCTCCCCCTTAACCCCCTCCCCCCCCAGACACACTGGGTTCTTCTACCTTTTATATGGAGCTATGCTCCCAGTTGTTTCTACTTCACAAGCCTCCCTGTTTCTCCCACTCATGCCTGCATTTCTGGCCTACTTTACCTGTGTATAATATAGGCATTCCCCACGGAAGACACAGATGGCAGAAAAGGGGGCAGACAGAAGAGATTCTAAAAATAATAGGACAGTTTCCTTTCTCTTATGTCTGGAACTCTCTGGCCTGCACTTTTAATTAGCCAAACAACTTTCCCCCAAATGCAGACCACATTTAAGTACTGGAGCTGCAGGGGGGAGCCTGCTGCAGTTGCTACCATGGCCTGTCCCCCCTCCCCCCCCTCTCCACCCCCCACTGCATCCTCTCTGCATGAGCTTAACCAAGTTTGGAGACCTAGCTCATGCTCTGCAGGCATGACTTTATCTTCCTTCCTCTCCCCTCCAGGAATTACTGCAAGAGCTCAAACACCTCAAAATCAAAGTAGAGGAGCTGGAAAATGAACGGAATCAGTATGAATGGAAGCTGAAGGCCACGAAGGTAAAAGGGCAATGTGATGCTGTAAGTGAGAGAGCCTATGGGAGTGTCTGGGCTCATACTCAGAGCTCCCAGCAACATAAGTTTGAAAGTGGAAATCAGGACCACTGTGTGAACATCCAGCATAGCCCAGGTTGTGCAGAGACAGATCTGATTCATGAAGCCTTACTTACAGATGAGTTAACTGAAGTACAGTAGAGTCATTCCTCTTGATGCATCTGACAGTCATTCACTGACATTAGCTGAAAGGAGTGGTGAGTTGAGTGAAAAAGTGAGCAATCCCCTGAGTTAGCAGGGAGCAATTCCTCCAAAACCAGATGAGCATCAGCATTGTGTTGGGAGCAGCATTTTAGATTTAGCAGTCCTTTTCATGATTAGCCTTTCAAAATAAAGAGACATGCATTTTCTGGAATGAATGCATTCTTAAAATGTTGAATTACTTCTTCAGTCAAATTATATTTCTATTAAACTAGGAAAGTTGCTATGCAAAAGACACCAGGAATAAATCCTGTAGTAGAATCTTAACACTACAACACTACTTTAAGAAGTTCTTCAGTTTTCCACTTAGTCCTTTTCAGTCCCTAAAGGTGGCTTTGTTTTTCAGTGTAGTATTGGTAGAGACTGGATCCTGGGTTTAATAATGCACAGCATTTGTAGGGGCCCAGAGCTCCCATCCCTGGTTGATTGCCAGTCTTCCTGGCTGTCTTGGTCCTCTTGCTGCACAACTCTAGCTCCCATGGATCAGGTAGTAGCAGCCAGACTGTACTTTGCCCTCATGGTCAGAAAGAGAGCTTCCCACCTGTGGGACAAGTAGCACTCTAAAGATAACAGAGTGCCTGTAGTGTCTGGGCTGTTCTGTAGTGATTGGCACAAGAGAGACTGCTGAGTCTGTAGATAAATGACCTCACACACAAAGTAACATTTAAGAAAGGAAAGACTTTGGAATGCCAGGTGCTAGGCTCTGGTCTCTGCAATCCCATATCACTGGAGTCCAACTGTGGAGCCAACAGATAAGTAAGCATGAGACACCTGGATCCTAGTGGATCAACACCCACCCTGTCCACATCCAAGACAGGTTGGGAGATTATCTTCCAAGAATGGTCTGGTCCTTGTGGAAATGAGAGGTTTTTGGGTTTAGAGTCATAAGTCTAAGATTCTCAGAAGTTACCATCAACATTATTCATATACTCATGGGCACCTAGCCTCTGAGTACGCCAGGTTGCTCCATGCCTGTGTTGTGGAAAGCTCTTTGGCCTATGCAGGCTTGATTCTCTGCCGTTGTGGGTGAAACTACAGCAGAGGCACTATACTCCATACTAAACTTGGCAGTTAGGAAACCTGACCCTTCATCACCACATTTTCCTTTACATGGACATCGCTGCCTCATTTAGAGAATATTGGAGAAGGCATATTCAGAACCCTTGAGGTGAACTCAGGTCCCTGAAGCCTCATAAGAGTAGCCTTCTTCCATCCTGTTATTTCAGCAGTAGGCAGGTGGGGGGTAGGGTTGGGGGTTGCATCCTAGCCTGGTCCCTGAGTAGCTCTCTGGCTTCAATGGAAAAAAGAGTGAGCACAGAGGTTGATTTGAAATAGGGGCTTACTCAACATACTGAAATTGAACAGAAGATTTGTCAGACAGAGGAACCTCCAATGAGAATAGCGTGCATTTGGTTACTTGGGATTGTTCAAACATTCACTTGGGCCATGTGGAAAGGGACAACCCATATAATATCTTTTATTTTAATCAAGTTTTTTATTATGAAAATACTGTACAAAGGAGTTGCAGTTACATGAGTAAGGTAATGAGTACATTTCTTATCCAGCATTGTTCCCTCCTCCTTTGTTTTTCCCCTACCATCCCTTCCTTCCCACCTCCTCAGCTACACAATATCTTGAAAGCCAGAGTATGTCATGATTAGGTTTTCAGATGAGGAAGAATGATCAGAATAACCCCCCCCCAAAAAAACAAACAAACAAACAAAAAAAACTTTTCCTCTGTGTAGTGGAGAGGTTGTTTCTAACCTATTTCTTGTTTGGTTTGGGGATAGAGAGCAGATCTAATTATCCATAAGGAAAGAAATTACATGAGAGAAGCAATAGCAACACTTATTGAACACTTAACATGCCCTAAGTATTGGACATACTGTTTACAACCTTTACCTTACTTAATCATCACTATAGTCCATGGCGTAGCTGCTATTTTTCCAATTTTATATATGAAATGAGACACAGAAATGTACATAGCTTGTTTAATGCCATCCAACTCAGACATAAGAAAATCCAGATTGTTTTTTTCAAGGTGAAGGTGGCTCTTGGGATGGACAGTTCTGATCTTCTGACGAATCTAGAAAGCATAGATAAGCACCTCTCATGTTGTATATAAGATCTAACGTGCTATGCTATCAGAGATACTAGAACCACCAATGCCTTTGCCCAGGTGTGTACATAGAGATGTGTGTGCACACACATGTATACACAAAGTATATATGAGTGCTTGTATATGTACACATGGGCAAAGTATATCTATGTGTCTAAAGGTACATAAAGGGAAGAAGCATTGACAGTGAAGACAGGAGACTGTCCAGGATGAGAACCCCTTGGCTCAGACTTTATCAACCAGTAGTGGTTGATGTTCACGGCATTTCCTATATGGTGTGGAAAGATGACGCTGCATGTACCTATTACAGCAGCAAAGCTAAGAAGTGTGGTGACATGAACATCTCAGGAGAAGTAAGAGTTTATTAAAATGAAAATATCCACTCCTACACCAAGGATAGAGCCCTTCCATTGCACCACAATCCCAGCTCCTCTGGTCCTGAGCTGCTGGGCCCCACAGAACAAGGACGAGAAAGAGCCTGGTCAGAGGGGAGGATGCAGGGGAAGAAGTAAGGGGATGGTCAGGAAGAGTGAGTTTACTCAGCAGAGTTCTACTCTGTGGAGGGGGCCCCTTGAATGAATGCCTCTCCTCCGACCTGAGCCCTTCTAAGGCCATGGACTCGACAGTAGGCTCTGATAGGAGGCCCTTCATCATGGTCTGGTACTCCCTCTCACCTGGCAGGGCTTCACTATTGCTTTTCCAGGCTGAGGTAGCCCAGCTGCAGGAGCAGGTAGCTCTGAAAGATGCTGAAATTGAGCGTCTGCACAGCCAGCTCTCCCGGACTTCAGGACTCCACAGTGACCACGGAGAAAGAGGTAACTCGATTAACTGGACAGAATGCAATTGTACTGAGCACTGGGCTCAACAATGTGTGTGTGTGTGTGTGTGTGTGTGTGTGTGTGTGTGTGTGTGTGTGTCTTGTCCAAGTGAATGAATGATATATGTGCATGCAAGCCTATGAAGTTCAGCTCTGTTGGGGAATCACTGCCTTGGGTCCCTTCCTTATGCTCTGAATGCTTTTCTCAGGCTCGCAGCATGAAACCAAAGCTCTGTTCAGGCCCCTCCAGAGCTTTGTGGCAAGAATGGAATTTTTCCCCTAACTTTCATTTGATTGAAAGGCCTTGCTTCTGTGTTACCATCGAGGAGGAGGCTTAGCAATTTATCCTGCCTGACACTTGTACAAGGCCTTGAGGTTACAGAAGCAAATCAGTTCTTTCTTTACTGCCCTTTAAAACTCCACTTAAATGTCACTCCTCAGAAAGACCTTTCCTGCCTGCCATATCTCAAATGGATGCCCCAGTCCTGTTATTCTCTAACTTGGCAACCTTGCTTCCTAGATAGCACTTATTACAACTTATCAGGATTATTATATTTAGGATGGTCTTGTGGTCATCACTCTGAGGTTAGTTCTGTTTACATGTTCAGAGCCTAGCATAATTAGTTGGCTCATGGTAACCACCTAGAAATATGCATTTATTTATTCATTCATGTATTTTTATGATCCTGGGGAGTTTGAACTCAGGGCCCTGTGCTTTCTAGGCAGGTGCTCTGCCACTTGGGATGTGCCCAGTCCTTTTTGCCTTTATTTTATTTTTGAGATAGTCTCAGTGATCTTTTTTCAGCTCTTCAAGGCTTCCAGTCACCCTGTGTTTATTTTCTGAGTTCATCACTTGCATTAAGTGAAATAAAAGATCTCTAACAGAGGAGTCTCACTGGCCTCAAACTTCTGATCCTCCTGACTTCACTTCCCAGGTAGCTCGGATTGCACTTGTGTGCTACCATGTAACAAACATCCCAAAGGAAACAGAATGACCATCTTTCTGTTCCTTGTCTTTTGTGTTGCTTTTTTACAAACATCCCTGTTCCCTTTACCTTCTTGTTTAGGAATAGGGAAATCCATATTTGCACAAAGTCCCTAACCTCTGAGTACGTGGCAAATGACCCTCAGATCCTTCATGTATTCACCTTTGATTTGCATCTTCAGCCAGTTTCAGAATCAAGTGAGTCCTTTTTTGAGTCTACAGTGAGAGAAAACACAACACAACCCTCAGCCCAGTGGAAAATTCTGTGGGTTTATGGTGAAATTATGTTGTTTTCCCTTAACCACAGGGTTTGTTTTATTATATTTCTTGGTTTATGTAAACATTTCTTAGTTGAGATTCATACCATTTTAAATTAAGCAAATCACCAGACTCTTTTATGTAATCATTTTGTCTAGTCTTCATTCAACTGTAGATGTTTTTCTTTTTATTTTCAATTATAATCTACCAGGTTATATGATAGTTTTCCAAAAGCAGTCACTAGCCTAGATATATGCCTACATAGAATAGGAATGTCTGTTTCTACCCCCATCCCGTGTGTGTGTGTGTATGTGTGTGTGTGTGTCTGTGTCTGTGTCTGTGTCTGTGTCTGTGTGTGTGTGTGTGCTGGTAGTAGGGCTTGAACTCAGAACCTTAAGCTCTTACTCAAGGTTAGCACTCTATCACTTGAGATACACCTCCACTTCCAGCCTCTTGCTGGTTAATCAGAGATAAGAATCTCAAGGATCTTTCTGCCTGGACAGACTTTGAACCTTGACTCTCAAATCTAAGCCTGAGTAGCTAAAAGTACAGACATGAGCCACCAGCACTTGGCAGAATGTCTATATTCTTAGGAGATATTGCTTGTGAGAGATTATTGATTCCTCTGTCACTTTTGAAAATAGGCATTTTCATTTTCCCTTTCAATGTCTATAAGAGAAGACAGGAGTTGGAGGTATTGCTCAGGTGGTAGAGGACCCAGCCAATAAGGGAAACCATTAGCTCCAGAGTTCAAGTCCCAGTCTCAAGAGAGAGAGGGGGGGGGGGAGAGAAGACAAAATACTAGGTATTTTAGTAATTGAGCAAATATTTAGTAAGACTGACTCTGTACCAGATACCATGTATAAACCATGTTTATATGAAAAGTCTTCAGATTTGAACTTGAGAGCCATCTTAGATTATACAAGTAGTATGTGTGTGTGTGTGTGTGTGTGTGTGTGTGTGTGTATATATAAATTCGATACTTGTTTTAGATCAAGAAATTCAACGTCTGAAAATGGGAATGGAAACTCTGCTTCTTGCCAATGAAGATAAGGTAAGGTGAACACTGTCCAAGGCAAAGGCAACCCTGTTCTGTCTTCTGACATCTCAGCAGTGTTTGGTCCCTTCTGGTTTCTGCTGTGGACGGTGTATTCATCTGACAGTGACACAGGAGTGGTCAAGAAGAGATAAGCTTCTGCCCCCTTGAGACTCAGTCTTGACACCTGTTTTTTTTCTTTGATGACAGAGAATTTTGTATAAATGGAATTTCCCAAAGCAAATTAGAGCTTTGCTTGCTTAGGTTGGTAAGGGGGAAATATCGCTGTGTTTTCTGTCTATACTCCAGGATTAGATTTTTGGAAAAATTTAGAACAGCTCGCCAGTCTCTCTGTGCATCCTCTCTATGACAGAACCTTCACAGAAACCCTTAACAGCACATAGGGCCTCAGCATACTCTGTCACCTTATGGTCTTTGCATGTAATTCCTGCTCTATCATAGAGTAACTATAAATAAAAAGCATCTACCTAGCCAGTAGAATCCCAATCCTGCAATTTTCCAGGTGATAAAACAGACCCAGAATGCTGATGTTATTTTATACAGTATTTGGGTAACTAGTGGATACCATAGCTACAGTTCACATCCAAGTGTGTCTAAGTAAAGGATTTATGTGGCCTTCCCAGTCACTATTCTCTTGGAAGAGTGGATCTCAGCTGGGAATTTCCTCTGTTAGCAAAAGTTTTTCAGACTCCTAAGGAACAGATGAGCCCATCAGGATGGATATGATAGCTTTGCTTCAGTGCTTTGGGGGTAACTCAAGAGGCATACTTTATCAGTGGCTACTTCAGGAAGGTAGAGAACAGTGGGTTCATGCCTCTGCAAATGATTTAGCCTCTTGGGGAGTATGTAGGCACTTGTGACCAACATCTTTGGGGTCATGAGCCATGAGTGCCTGCAATTGCCTATGCGGAAAACCACTTGGACCTAACACTGGAATGAGTCTGACTCTCCCTATATGATGCTTTAGTGTCTAGCATAAACTGGGCCCCAAAGTGAAATCAACTAGCTACCACAAATAACGTTCATCTATGTCTTGCCCTGGCTCTGTAACAGGACCGTCGGATAGAGGAACTTACGGGGCTGCTGAACCAGTACCGAAGGGTAAAGGAGATCATAATGGCAACTCAAGGTAAGAGCAACAGTGAGTCTGCCATTTTCTCTGAAATGCTTTAAGAAAAAGACATTGTTAAACCTAGGAGCAATACTTTCCTTCCACTTGGATATCACCTGTGGGATAATTGAGAGTATTCCTAGGTGATAAGAAATTGGCAGCTGTTAATTTTCAGAAATTTTAGCAAGTGGTGGTCAACTCGAAACTTTTAGGAACTGTCCAGGTTATCAAGCACAGAAAGCCCCCAGCTTAGCTTTTGAGTCCCACTTAACAGTGGGACTCCTGTATATCTTCTCAGGATTCTCCTCAGAGAAACAGTGTGTGGAATCAAACATGAATCAGAAATCTTACCAGTGCCATCCCCAGGAATCAGAGCTTATCTGCTTCTTAGAGGACCTGGAGCTCCTCCCAAATTCAGAGGCTACTGAGGGGAAAGATCTTTTTCTCTAATCTCTTAGGATCTTGGGCCAAGTTACTCTCAAGGCCTGCTAGTCCATTGCCAAGAAGTATGAAGGTCAGAGGCAAAGAATGGAATCCAGAGCTGAATGTTGAGCTTGAAATGACCCCTGTGGTAGCCTTTGCTTGAATCCCCTGAAAAACTCTTTCCAATCACAGTTACTGTTTTTTATACATGTCTCATTTCCTTATTGACAGTTATGGGGTTTTGACACAGAGCCTTGTACCTTCTAGGCAAGCACTATACCACATGAGCAATGCCATCTAGTCCTATTTGCTTTTAGTTTATTTTTCAAATAGAGTTTTGCTGCTTTGTGCCTAGCCGGCCTCTGATCTCCTGAGTAGCTGTATCACCATGCCTGACCCCTGTTTTCTTTTCTGGTCTCTTTTATTTTTATAGGGTCTTACTATTTCCCACACTGGACTCAAAACCCCTGTGTTCAAGTGATCCTTCTCAGTCTTTTTTAGTGGGGGAGAACGGATGTTAGGGTTTTGTGAGACCACTCTAACGATCTGAACAATTCACATGGTCGTGATCTATCACTTTGGTATTAATGCTTTCAGGGTCTTCGGAGAGAACTCTCTCAATCAGTGAAGAACTGGATGGAAGTTTCAGGAAATGGAACACTACAAATAAAGGCCCTGAAGAATTACTTAAACAAGAGGTACTGTGTCTCCCAATGTGACGTGAGTTTCAGCAGTCCTTAGAGCTTATCTGGCATTAGGCCAATATACAACTTAACTGGTGAATTATTAAATGCATGGAGTTGGCCTTAGCTGTGGAGAGAGGGTGGTGGAGGCAAGGGCCTAGACTTGGGCCTGTGTTCTGGTTGGGGGAAGCATGGTAGACACTGGAATTTTCAAGGACAGGGATTTTCTTTTTTAATCAGGCTCCTTGTTTGCTTTGTGTATTTGCTCTGGGATTTAAGTGTAGAACAAAGGTGGTGTTTATTTTATTTACTAGTATTTCTCCAGGGTCTGCAGTACCTAGTCTGATACCCAGTAGAATTTGTCAAATGAGTACATCTTTCTCATTTAGAGAGATACCTGCAACTTCTGAAATAATGCATTCCTGCTTTAACAGTTGTTCATATCTTGCCTTAGAATCAGCAAACAAACTTTCCTTTTGGTATAGAGTCTGGTCCCGTCATATTACTCTATAGCTTTAGGTTAAGTAAAAATGAGCAAAACAGCCCATACAGAGAGACATTGGTTGAAGGAGGGGTTTCTGCCTAAAGGTCAAAAGATTCATGACATTTCAGGATGATCAAACTAAAACGGATTTTAGCAGTCAAGATCAATCTTTATATTTAAGAAAAAAAGGAAGAATGTTGTCAAGTAAGCCCATTACCAAATTAAAGGAAGCAGACCACATTTCTAACAGCTACAAAATTTCAGTCATCAGGGCTTGCTTAGTAACTCCACATGATCACTGAGAAATTCTAGCTTACTTTTACTCCTTAGGACACCTTATATAGGTCCTTATTTTATTGTGATTAAACTGATGTTCAGAGGGGGCAAGTTAATATTACCTGAGTGAGTTAGGTGATACTGCAAGTAGATGGCAGAGCCTCGACTTGAACCTAGGTCTGTATGACCACAGAGCCCAGGCATTTAACCACTATAATGCCATGATTCTTTGTATAGTAGACCAACAAGTCTCAGGGTTATAAGGAAAAGAGGTGGCCTTTGTGATCAGTTCACCCCCATCAGGTGATGCCAGCTTTCCTGATGTGTTCCTTCCTTTCTTGCCTTCCTAGTGACTCTGTTCTCCTTTCTTTCTTTTTCTTTTTTCTTTTTTTTGGTTGATTGTGGGGCTTGAACCCTGGGCCTAGGCATTGTCCCTCAGCTCTTCAGCGAGCACTCTACCACTTGAGCCACAGCGCCACATCTGGTTTTCTGAGTAGTTTATTGGAGATAAGAGTCTCATGGACTTCTCTGCTCAGGAAGGCTTCGAACCATGATCCTCAGATCTCAGCCTCTTGAGTAGCTAGGATTACAGGCATGAGCCACCAACATCGACCAGCTCTATTCTCCTTTTTTAAGGTTTACCTCAACTTTTCTCTCCTCTAAAGGCCTCTCAACATTCACCTCACTGATAAGCTTACTCTCATATTATATTGTAGGTGTCAGTGTCATAGGACAGAAGGCCATTTACTGTTTGTTCATCCCTGCTTACCTATTAGCCTCCTGAGTGTGGGTTATGCTTGCCCCATATCTGACATAGACAAGCATTAGATGTTACTGATGTTTGTTGAGTGAGTATATCATCTGGGTCCTCTCAAGGAGTGTATCAGATAGACACTGGCTAATTAAGCCAAAAGGGATTGTTTTTGCAAGGTGTATAATGAGTCAGTGAGGAAAAAGAAAACCTGAACATTATAAAGGGCAGAAGCAACACTCAGATCTCAGGACTCTATGGCTAGGACTTAGACTTTCATCAAAGACCTGAGGTTTGGGGATGAAAGGCAATTTGACTTAGGTATTTTGATATGCCTACTCTCTTGGAATCTTGAAAAGAGGAAGGCATTCACATTGATATGTTCATCATAGCTATACCCAAGGATTCCCATAGGACTCATCCAAAGATGGACAAAGTTTGGTCCCCAGATAATAACTGTCCTCTCTGGTATCTTTTCTGTTTTTGACAGATGCCTCCCAGGTGCAGCTCTCCTATGGTGGGGCCACCTCCTTTGCCACAGAAATCACTGGAGACCAGGTAGGAGAGAGAACTGAGCTTTTCTAGAGCTTTTCTCAGGCCCCTGTTGGGGCTCTCAAGATGGTTGATAACTGACTCTGCATGATGAGCACAGCCACCATGTTCTGGGCACCCATTGTCAAGATTTCCACTGTCATGCCACTCTCCTGGCCACAGAGCCTTACTTCCCTTCCCATGGGCTGAAGGTCTGAGTTATTACCATAGAGGAAAGACCTGCCAAGGGTTGGCACTTCAGAGGAGACAGTGGCCACAACCCTTCATTACCCTCTGGTGGCTTCTCAGAACTGGGAGCACCCCTTGACATGTCTGTAATTTTCATTAGTCCCTTTGAAATATACTCACCAACCTCAGGCTGGGTCTAGTTCTTTGATCATGAGGCTCTGTGTTTCAGGCCTTCACTCCTCACAGGGAAAAGGTTCAATTGGAGATTGATCGAATTCTTTTCAGTACAATGTGGTTTTAATGAGCTGACCTATAGGATCATTGATGGTCACCTATCTGACTCCCTCTAAAATTTCTAGATCCCTGTATCAGTTCTTCAGAATATGTTCCATGTTAATCCTGTATAAGGATGATAGCCACACACATTACAGGGCCTCTCCAGAATAGTGCTGGGTGTCTGGAGTTCCACAGCCCAGTTACTAGAGAATAGTTGTTCCTCTAAAGATGTTGACCAGAGAAAACTGGCATGGTCAGAGAGGCCTGTCTTAACTTTTGCTGAATAAGAAATTTAGTTTATGCGTTCACTTGGAGGAAATCGACAATGAGGGGCTTATGTGGACCAGACTTGGATGCTGACTTATTTTTATAAACTGAGAAATATGAATGCCTAGGAGACTTGTACAAAGTTACCCTGTGACCACTGGTGGCATTCCCTGGGATCAACTCATTTTTTCTCTTCAAAATAGCCCTTATGAGAACATAAGGAAAAGACTGCTCAGGGCAAACAAGAAGTATCCAGCTAGCAAGATCCTAACAGGTGATGCTTTGGAGACAAGTCTGGTTGGTGTGTATGTCTCCACAAAAAGAAGGCACCAAACAGCTTCTCTCTGGATCACCCTTAGATTCATAGACAAGCCAGCAGCATTGCCTCTTTCTTCTTTTGACTGTTCAGCTACTAATCTGCCTTATGAACACACTGTAATCCCCTCCCATCAGTACAAGAGTATTAAGTGTATTCTAGCTTTTTGAGTAATGCCAAGGACTTTTCATTGGGATCTAAGTGATGCCATCATGCGATACATTGCTGTACCAGACTTTACTCCAGGTGGGACAGTCTCATTTTTGTATGTTGGCTACTGTGAGAAGGGTAATTATCCCCTCCCCCCCGACTTTACTCAGCCCAACACAGGCTCCTGGTGAATCATTTAAAATGTCAAGTACTATCTTCTACAGTAACTATTGCTTTGTTTCTTTCTTTTGTGTGTTTCCAGGGCTCAGAAGAAACTCTCCTGTAGTCTTGAAGACTTGAGAACTGAATCTGTGGATAAGGTCGACTATCCAATCTGTCTATATAGACTACTAACTACTTCTTTGGGTCCCACACAATGTTAGAATATATAAATGAGCCTTGACCCTGCTTGGAGAGGCACAGTTATAGTGAAAGCAGGATGACATGAACATATTAACAAAAAAAACAAACAAACAAGTTGAGTGCATCCCAAGACATTCTAGAATCAGGGCAAGTCAGGAAACACTGGATGGAGTTGATAAGGGAAGAGGTTGAGGTGAGCAAAGGCCTGGTTAGAGTCTGGTGGGCATAGGCAGTTTGGACAAATAGTAGGGGACAGGGGATGCAGGAAGAAGTGAGGTCAGAGCCATACATCAGATCAAGCTAGAGAAGTACTAGTCCTATCTTCACAAGGCACTTGGAATCATTACTCAGATTTTGAATGAAATAGTATGGATAAAAGTGATGATCCAAGGAATAAGATCAGGAACAATTTACAAGATTAAACAGGCAGCTTAAAGAAGCCTCTAGAAAGATATGACTAGAGTCTGTGGCCCTATATTTGACCACATGGGTGTACCCAGGCTGAAGAAGAGAATTACAGGCTCTTGAGGGTAGTCATAAGAGAGCCTCCATACATTATACTGTTCCCCTGGCACTGAAGCCTGGTGACAATATGGAGATACACAAAGCTGGAGTTGACAGGCACTGTGGGCTCAGCCTTTGGCTTTGATCCCTCAGCCATGGATTTTTCATTCCCCCTGGTCAGATTGCTGGCATCTTCCCAGGATGTCTGTCCATGGGGTTGGAAAGACCTAAATTTTCTGTCACAGTGGTGATTATCTGACATGAAGCAGGGAGGTGCAGAATCCGCTTGTATCTGAGCCTTTCATTATGTTAGCCGGCAGTTAGTCCTGAGTTGTTAGTGATGAACTCAGATCTCTTTTTCTCCACATAATTGAATTCTTCTGGTCATTCCATAGCATGTCGATGGGAAACAGCTCTCACCGGTGGTGGAACCCAAGGTACAGAAACTTCATGTCCCTTTCATCCATCTGTGGTTGGACTGTTAGTTACAGGGATTAGTAGGTTTTAGCTTTTGTAGCCTTAAATAGGTTAATTTGTAAGAAGAAAGTCAAAACGTCCACCCCCATTTTAATTTAGGTGCCTCCTTATGTATCATGTGCTTTTACCACATTACTTATGGGCTTGTATTTGTTATTTTTATCTCCCAAGGCCCAGAGAAACTAATCTTTAACAAAGCTACCTAGATTTAATCACAAGGTGTGGGCACTATGATCTCTGCACACAGAAGAGTGTTACAGCTCTCATCCATTCTGCGCTGATGGGTTGCATTTTAAAAACATAGAGGTACACTCAGTTCCCCCTTTAATGACAAAGTCATGTTATAAAAGTTCCATTAGAACTGATTCTACTCCTATAAAACCTATTATGGAAGATGATTTCAGTTTCTAGGTTGGTGCACAAATGTTCATCCTATGATGAACTGAATCAGCTTCATATAATTACCATGATTTTAGCCACATCTAAACATTCTTTACACTATCACATGGAAAAACACACTGTGCATGGCCCTGCTCTGTCCTCTGACTGCCACAGGATACAGGGGCCTCACTGCATGTCGACTTCAGTCCAAAGTGTCATTTTATATTTTCATGCCAATGTGATTGAATGAATGGGTCAACTCTGTTTTTCTAACTCTGTGTAAGAGGAAGATTTTGATCACAGTTCCTCATCTAGAAAAGGAGTTTCCTTATCTGTAGCAATCAGCGCTTCAAATTTGGCAACTATTCCTTGGGCCATATGAAATGTAGAGGAGATGTCTCCTGCCTGTGTCCCTGCCCCCGGTGCTTTGGACACACAATCCCTTGAGCCAGGGGTCTGCACAGTCCCATGTCAGATTGAAAGCCTCTCTCTCAGACTGTCCTAAGGCAGAGTCCATTCACAGTTGCCTCTAGAGCACATGTATACCAGCCTGTTCCGTAGGAGACATAGCTCACTCACTGTTGAAGCTTTAAGACACTGATTTGATTCCAAGAAATATGAATGGTGCTGGACTGCTTACAAAGATAAATCTTCGAAGAATTTGGTTCTTTTTGTTGTTGTTTGGGTCCAGTTGTGGGGCCTGAACTCTGGGCCTGGGCACTGTCCCTCAGCTCTTCAGCTCAAGGCTAGCACTCTACCACTTGAGCCACAGCGCCACTTCTGGCTTTTTTTCTTTTTGCTTATGTGGTGCTGAGGAATCGAACCCAGGGCCTCAGGCATGCAAGGCAAGCGCTCTACCACTGAGCCACCTTCCCAGCCCAAGAATTTGGTTCTTAAGTGACTTCACGCACGCACGCACGCACGCATACACATACCATTCTCCTTCTCCCAGGACCATTCTGAAGAAGTCTCTAACCTTGAGGTTGTGTCCTTGCTTTCTGTACGTCTAAAGATACTCTTTTGCTGTTTTTAGCTCCGACTGTCAGTTATGTCTCCTTTTGTAAGCTTGTGCATCCCTGATCTGACATGCTATCTCTGGTATTTAGTCTTCCCAAGCCTTTGGTAGTGCTCTGTTCTTGGGGTTATGCATGTGTTTCCCATGTGCATGGATCACCAGCCTTTAATGCATCCATTTCTCAGTGAATTCTCCCAATTCTGCCTTGGGTAAGCTTTGGATGTGATATTATAGATATAGTCTGACCCATGCCTTCCTTGATCTTGAACCTGCTCTTCTAGATTGTTGTCCCTTTAGGACAAAACATATTTTCAGTGCTTCTGTTTATCAGCTGTCTACTGCCTGCTAGGCTCTGTGCATATGCTATTTCACACAAATCTAAAGCAGGAGTTAACCTTACTTAGAATGACAAAACAGAGGTTAAACATAATGAGTTTTGCCTAAGTTAGTCTGACGCAAAGTCCGTGCTCTTCCCCATGGCCAGAGTTATTCTTATTGGAAGAAACACGGGTGGGGGGAGGTACCAGGCACTTCTGTATCCTCTGTGTCCTGACATTGAACTACTTTTGCCAGTGGTGAGTCAGTTTCCCAGCATTTCTTCTTGGCCTCATTAGAACTCAGAGAGCCCTTTCTAATGGCCTTTGCTCCTTGGGCTGTTTTTCTTAGAAGTCTTGATCTCTATCCTGGCTGATGTGGACCACATCAGTGCCCTCACCCTGGCTGTGTCTGCCATATCTTGGTGGTGTCATGTGTCAAGAACCCTCCCCCAGCCATATTTCCTGTGGAGGATGGAACTTGGGAGCCGTGCCCTTCAGTTCTTGAAACTTCTTGAACTCTCCCTTCCCGGATTCTGACAATTTATCAGAATTAATCCGAGATGTTCATTAAAAATATAGATTCCTAGAGTGGATTTGCTTCCAAAAGGCTGATTCACAGGGCCAGGGAGGGAGCTGGGAGTTCACACTGGTTTTGCAAGTGCTCTTGGTGAGCCTGAAGCAGTGATGCATGAGCTAGCACTGAGAAACCGTTGGTCTGGTCCACATGTTCTGTTGTGTACCCCCTCTGCTCATCAGTCATCACAAGCTTGAAGGTGTCATAGGCTTCATCTCCTGATGTGTCAGTTACTTCAACTTGCTGAACAGTTCTTTCAGAATTCTTTAAACATTGTCTCCCTTCCCTATTTCTTTCTGTTCTTTCTGAACTTATTTATAAAGGTTTCTTTTCAGTGTCCAATGAATGAACTGAATTTCAGATGATTTCTAGGAAATGCACTTAAAAAGGAACTGAAGTCAGAAATGTACTGGACACTTGACTTTTTAGCTCTATGAAACATCAAAGGATGTCTTAGTCACGGCAGCCGCCCATTATCAATCTGACATGCCAGTTGTGAAATGGGCTTTGTCTTCTACTCGACTTTTGTTCCAGGTCCAGTTAACTGACCCAGATTTGATTCCCTTGGTGATGTTGGTTCGATTTATCTCTCCTTTTCTTTTTCTATCTTTTCTTCTTTTTTCACTCTGGCAGTACAATCCATATTTCCCACAGGTTTCAAATTTAAGGACTGTGATATGTTGGTGGGGGTTTTTTTGGCACATAATATCCTTCATCTTTTCATCAGTTTTGTTTTTTTTTTTTTGGAGGGGGGAAGGGACTCTTAAATGGCCAAGATCCAAGCAGAGGGTCCATTACACCAAAAGCAGGGTCCATTGTACCACAGCAGATGATGATCCTAAGTTCCTAAGGGAACACCATGTTAGCATTTAGCCTTCTGACTCATTTCCTGTTATCTCTCCCATGTGGGCTTCTTCCTTTGCCTTAACATGATGTTTTCCAAAACAAATCATCACAATGCAAATTTTTTCCTCTGCTGCTTCTAATTTAAACTATAATCCTCCTGTTGTGGCATAGACTTATGTCAGCCAAGACTTCAAATGACTGCCAAGTCCTTGAAGATATCTGAGCTGGCCTGGTCTGAATGAGGACCCTACAGATAAAAAAATATATACTCCTCTTTATTGACAATAGAAATATAGGTCTAGGGACAACAGGGAAACATAGACCAGTCTCACCTCATCTCTTCTCTTTCAGGATTGATTAAAAAAATACTAGGCAGTGAATTCTGGCTTGTATTTCAAGACCGCAAAGAGTAACTCGTGTCTATTAATTCATTGCACCTCTGAACAGTAGGCCAAATACCAAGGCCTCTTTTACAAGACAGCTCCACTTCCTATTAGAAGCAGTTGTAGTCAACCCTGGATTGGGTTTGTCACTATCTCTGCCTCAGTGTGTAGGCAACTCTCTCCCTTTCTCAGAGCTCTGATACCTTTCCTGGGATGAATGACCTTTGAGTGATCTTTGAGTCAAGCTAAGTGAAAAGATGATGCTTGGAGAATGGGGAATTGTTTGTCTAAGTGTATTCCTAGCTGGGTTGAGTCTGAGTCTGAAGATTAATTCAGCCCCTCTTCCTCTCTTTTCTTCCAACAGGTCAGCCCTTTCCAGGTAGAGCAGAAACACCCTACATCACCTGGGAAGCTTTCAGGTGTCACACCCAATGGAGAAGCTGCCAAATCTACTCCCACCAACTCCCAGCCTGATTCTGCAGGGAACAGCCTGCCAAGGCTAAGTGAGTGTCCACCCACTGGGCTGATGGTCTCTGGATCAGTGTCTTGACATTTTCTAGTCATTGTGCAAGATTCTTGCACCACAAGAGCTCACAACTGAGAATGACGGGGGTGGGTGCTGAAACAAGTAAATTCTAAAGTCTGGCCCTAGTTTCAAAGGCACACACACTTCAGAGTCCCAGAAAAACCAGATGGTGTATATAATCTACTCTTTCCGGTTTCTTCTCTTCTGCCATTCTTCCTCTCTTGAAACCCTGCCTATCCTTCCTACCATTCCAACATTTCCTCTCATGTGGAGACCTCATTCCACTCTTCTTGTTCCTCATCTACCTTCCTCTCCCATCCCAGTCTTCTCCTTCCTGTCTCTACCTTCTCTGCAGCCTTTCTACTACAAGTAGGGTGATCATGTACAATCTTCCAAGTGATGCTACCACCTTAGGCAAATGACATCAGTGCTAGGAGACAAGGACATTTTTGGAAATCAGGACTTAAAAAATGAGTCCTGCTACTTTTCATTGAAAACAGGCTATCTTAACCCAAGAGCAGTAGCCGATTATATGGATCCAAGGAAGAAATGTTCTTGTCCTGGCTCTTCTCTGAGATGGCCAATGTGTCGGCTCATGAAGGCTAGTTCTGCACTGGGCTGTAGGAGCTTCAGATAATCTATAAATCAATGTGTTACCCAGGCTGCATGTATAGCAGTTCCAGATAATTCTAGTCTGACTGAGTAAGCCCCGGTCCCTGGGCAAGAGCCGCATGCGGTCCAATGTGTTCAGCCCCTGCTGCTGTCCCTTTTTCTCCCTGTCCGTGGACCCCTAGCCTGTCAGGAAAGGTCCCAGGAACATTTGGCCCATGTCATGAGGCCATCTCTCAGTGCCTTGGCCCCGTGAGCCAAGCTTAGGCTCCACCTGCCCCATCCTCCTTCATGGGATTATTTTATTTCAGTTTGAGTTTTTCTCTCTTGCTCGATGACACTCTTGTTTCTCTTTTTTGCTTTCCCCCCCCCTCTCTCTTGGGCTGGATTTTGGTCTCTCTTGTTTCTTCATGTGGCTTCTCTGCTTCTTGGTTGGCTGGAGATCGCGGCCGGAGTGTCAGTGCCCCTGTATTAGGTACTGTACCCGTTCCAGGTGAGGTGGAGAGTGAGAATGCTTTTGTTTCCTGGTTCTGACCCTAACACTTCCTCCTCCCTAATGCTCAGCCCTAGTTCCCCTTCCTGGCTGCATTCCTGTACCTAGAGAACAGCTCTGCATTGGTATAATCCACAAGTACCTATACCCCCCCATCCCTTAGAATCTAAAGTCATTAGCTCACTAACTCTTTAGTGAGGATCTGGAGTGTGCCTGTGCCCTACTTGTGTGTACAGTCCTGCCCTGAGAGCACAGCTAGGCTGTCTTCCTGGAGTCCCACAGAAGGATGGGTCAGACCTGAGGAGGCAGATCCAGAAGTCAGACCCCTTACTCATTCCATCCTTTCTACCTCAGGAGAAACAGAAAGTGGTTGGGAAGACACTGCCATCATTAATGACCTTTCATCCACCTCATCTGGTACCGAGTCAAGCCCCCAGTCTCCCCTGATGCCAGATGGTAAACGGAGCCCCAAAGGCATTAAGAAATTCTGGGGAAAGTAAGTTGATGGTGATGATTATAATCATATGCTTGGAATTAGTTTTCTTTTTGAGCAGCCATTACTCTATGTATGCCTTTGATCTAGCATACATTGGTCATGTTCAGAGTTTGTGTAACGAGAGGCTAGAGAAGATAGGTAACAGACACCCATCAAATAGAGTCAGTTGCTTTGCATGTTGTTCATCTATGATCTGCATACCCTGAATATATTCCTTGTAGCTTATGCAACATTGGTTTGAAAGAGGCACCAATGAGAGTGGATTCTTCCTTCTTAGGGGTCAGTCTATGTCTTGAACAAACTTTGAAAACAGAGAGTAGAGTACTTACTGGTCTAGCTGTGCAGTCTGAAATGAGGCAGAAATTGGAGCCTCCACTGAGACAGCAACTTTCCCTTTAACTCCTGTGAGGAGTGGCCAGAAGTCAAGAGACAGTTTTAAAATTGAGACTTGAGTCTGTCTGAGTTTCTGTAACAGGTCACAATGCCTGATCTTCAAGAGGCACTGAGAAGCAGAGTACTGAGCCTAGCTTATCTGGCCCTGCCTCCGAAGAAGAAATATGTCACCTCCAAGCTCTCAGCCCATCCTCTGACAATCTCTATGGATTTTTCTCCATGCAGAATCCGAAGAACTCAGTCCGGAAATTTCAACACGGATGCCCCAGGAATGGCAGAGTTTCGACGAGGTGGGCTCCGGGCAACTGCAGGGCCAAGACTCTCTAGGACAAGAGACTCCAAGGGACAAAAATGGTAAGACTCCTCTAGTCCATCTACAATGAGCTACATGTAATCCTGGCCAGGGTGTAGTAAGGCAGAGGCTGGTTCTCCCAGAGCTCCAGAGATAGAAAGCAGGTCCTATCAATGTTTGAGACACAGGACATTTTTCAATCTACCTGCGTTTTGGTGAGTATCCTCACACCAATATGGTAATCTAGGAGCTTTAAAAAGAAACCTGAGAATGTTTGAACCTTGCTTGCTTGTGTGTGTGTGTGTGTGTGTGTGTGTGTGTGTGTGTGTGTGTTCCCTCTCTCCAGGATAAATGAAATCAATGTGGCAATAGTTCTGGTCACCAATGTAAACTCTTAGCAAACATTAGCTTTATAGAAGCTAGGGAATCTAAGGACAAGGTTTGAGGAACCTAGGGACCAATGTAAACCCAAAGAAAGCTTTGCCAATTAAATATTCAAATATACTTAGAAATTTTCCTAATTTAAACATTACTGCTTCTGGTTTTTCTGAGGGAGATGGAAAAAAACAAAGCTACAGTAAATTTAGTTCATCTTTATTCCAATTCTGGCTGAATGTTTAATGCCTAATCATAGAAGAGGAACCACTGGGTCAGGATATAAGAACGTTTCAGAGACTCTCTTAAGCATTTTCCTGGAGTAGGACTGTGTGTTGAGGTCCCCATGTACATCCCATCAGATACTTTAGGGTCACCTGTGTCAGGAACTTTCTATGCCACTTCGTTGGATGTCTTTGTGCTTTGTTGACCCTAACAAATGGTAAAGTAGTAAGAATGAATAAGTCCTACTGATACGAGATTGCTATGTTTATCCTTATAGTGCTTATTTCACAAAAATGAATTTGCTGCTCACAATGAAAGGATGTTATTACCCTTAAGTAGAAATTGAATATAATTATATGCTAGTGTCCTCTAGTATTTACTTTATATATATTTAGGGCATAACCTTCAAAAATATGTTCCGTAGATAATATTCGTATAGGAAATCTACTTAAATCTACTGGGTTTATCAGTGGCTTATGCCTGTAATCCTGGCTACTCAGGAGGCTGACATTTGAGGATTGCAGTTCCAGGCCAGCTAGAACAGGAAAGTTTGTGAGACTTGTATCTCTCAAAAAAAAAAAAAAAAAAGACAAGTGACGCTGTGGCTCAAGTGGTAGAGTGCTAGCCTTGAGCAAAAGAAGCCCAGGCCCAGCACTATAAATATATAGAGTCATCCTGTGTGGGCACGTGATATAGCTCTCCATTTATTCATACCGTTCCTTGTGTTGTTCAGTTACATGTTGTAGCTACCTCATCATCTCAGTCCACTGCATGCCCGCCCCCCCCAGGCTTACGGGGCCTGAACATCCCTAGCTAAGGCAATTGTTAGACATTTTATAATTCTGGTTGCTATGGGTACAATGCAAAATGAGAAAATTTGTTTTGCTTTAACCAAAGCAATAGTATCTGTGCTTGGATAGTATGAAGAAAGTTGACTTTTGCTTGTGATGTGCATATAATATGTGGGTGTTTGTATGTGTGTGTTCATATTTTTTATATCTCTGATAAAATTCACATAACCTAAAAAATGGTCTTATTTATTGATTTTAATGTAAAACCCATTACTATTTTAGGTATTATCTACAATTAATTAAGGTATTTTTATTCACTTATTCTTTCTTCATGTTGAGAACCAGTGGTCTTTCTCTAGTTTTCCTTTTCCTTTTTTTTTTTTTTTTTACTGTGAGAATATTGTACAGAGGGGTTACAATTACATGGGCAAGATAACGAGTACATTTCTTATCAAGCATTGTTGCCTCCTCTTGTTTCCCCTTCCCATCCCTTCCCATCCCCCCTCACTTCCCCCCACCTGATCCTCTCCCCCCCCCCACCAAAGTTGTAAAGTTCGTTTGTTGACATAATGACTTGTACATCTCATTGTTGCAATGGGTCCACCTGTATCCCTAGTTAAATGATTTGTTTTTTCCCTTCCCCTCCACAAATTATACCAACATCAAATACACCGAAAGCAGGGGTTAAGCTGTGGGGGAGGGACATACAAAGCAACATAGAAATCATCTTATAAATATGTTAGAAACAATTGCATGAAAGAAAAAAAACCATTTGAATACTTATTTTGGGGTTCATTCCCCTAACATCAACTTATCTGACCTTTTCTGCTTGACTCAGACATATATACTAGTTATTGCAAATAAGGGAAACCATGGGACCTATGTTTCTTTGGGCCTGGCTTACTTCAATTAATATATTTTTTCCCAAGCCTTTCCATTTCCTAACAAATGGGGCAATGTCATTCTTTCTGATGGAGGCATATAATTCCATTGTGTATATATACCACATTTTCTTGATCCATTCATCTACTGAGAGGCATCTGGGTTGGTTCCATATCTTAGCTATGGTAAATAAGGCTGCATTAGACATAGTTGTGCTGGTAGCTTTAGTGTGGTCTTGTTTGTGATCATTTGGGTAAATGCACCAAAGTGGGTCATAGGGGGGCTGTATGTGGAGTCTTTTGAGGAACCTCCATACTACTTTCCAAAATGGTTGAACAAGTTTACTCTCCCACCAACAATGTAGTAAGGTTCCTTTCTGTCCACATCCCCTCCAGCATCTGTTGTTATAGTTTTCCAAGCCATTTCCTAAAAAAAAACTGTGTTAATCTTGTGACAAAATGATTTAACTGTGGGTGTTTATCCTAATGGGGCCATTCTGTGATCATGACGTATACATGGTACATGACATGGTACAAAAATGGCTTCCTAAGGATCTGTAGCCTGGGCCTTGTTCAAAGTAGCTTGACTAGGAACTCCAACTGTGTTATCAAGGAGACTCTAGTGCCTACCTCACATGAATGGGTTGTAGGGAATGAACCTACTCACACTGTTTAAGATAGATCCTCTTTTGTGAGGTTTCATTGTATGTAGGGCCTCAGGTTCCCTGCTAACCAGAGCATGCTGTCTTCCTGCTTCTCAGTGATGCCAATGCCCCCTTTGCCCAGTGGAGCACCGAGCGTGTTTGTGCATGGCTGGAGGATTTTGGTCTGGCTCAGTACGTGATCTTTGCCAGGCAGTGGGTGACGTCTGGCCACACACTGCTGACAGCTACACCTCAGGACATGGAAAAGGTAAGGGCTGAGCCTGGGGCAGAGAAGATCCTATTTCTTTCCAGACCAATGCATGGAGACTAGTATGGGGGGGGGGGGTAGGTGACACTCCTCCCCCATGCCCTGTCTACCACACACACGGAATACAGATCCCAGCTTCATTTGCGAGGTGACATCCCAAGACACCAGTCTGCTACCCTCTCATTGCGTCCCCACCCTGACACAATATCCTCTGAGGACCAAATTGCCTGCCAGAATTTCACATCTGGTCCCCGTCTTATAATTTTAGGAGCTAGGAATTAAGCACCCGCTCCACAGGAAGAAGCTTGTTTTAGCAGTGAAAGCCATCAACACCAAGCAGGAGGAGAAGTCTGCGCTGCTGGACCACATTTGGGTGACACGTAAGGACAGCCATGTTAGGAATTAAGTGTGTTTCTGGCCATTCCTAAGGGTAGAGAAGATTTCCCTGTTGATATAAGCCTCAACGACAGCTGTCTACTTGTGAAAGGCAGATGGATTACTGAACCTTTGGGGGAATGAAACTTGAGCCTCAAAATGATCATTTCTTTTTGCTTGCTACTTATCTTGGCATCCATGTTCTTCTGTTTCATAACACATCTGTTTTTATGTATTTGTAGGGTGGCTTGATGATATTGGCTTACCCCAATACAAAGACCAGTTTCATGAATCCAGGGTTGATGGACGAATGCTGCAATACCTAACTGTGGTGAGGAATTTCCTTCTGAAGATTTTGGTGGTTCCCGTTGAGCACTCAGCTCAGATATGTCGGTGGGGCTGTTTTCAACTTAATTCTACCTCATAGCTCATATTCTTGTGGCCTTGTGTTGCATTAAAAGTCCCAAGCAGCAGAGTACAAACTCTGGTGCTAAGAGAAGCTGTTACTGTGTCTGTGTGCACCTTCCAGAAATGTGGAAATGGTCTGGGAAGGACATATAGGATCTTAACTCTGATTAATTAACCAAAATATGTCTCTTCCAGAATGATCTACTCTTCTTAAAGGTCACCAGCCAACTACATCATCTCAGCATCAAATGTGCCATTCATGTGCTTCATGTCAATAAGTTCAACCCCCACTGCCTGCATCGGCGGCCTGCTGATGAGGTGAGGGCAGGAGAATAGCAGGTAGCCATGAGCCAGAACACCTGAAATATTAGATGTAACACACACACACACACACACACACACACACACACACACACACACACACACACAAAGAATGGCTGCATCTCAGGTGATGGTACTTGGGATTCTGGTACCCAGAATACCCTTGTTGCCTGAATTTTGTGTCTTCTGGTAGTTGCTAACCTGCATCTCCCATTCTCTCTTAGGAGGATAAATGCTGTGGGCTAGAGGGCAGTGACAACAAGTCTTTCAAAGTCATTATAATGACTAATGAAGATGGGGAGATGACATAAAACAGAGAGAAAGGGAGAGAGAGACAAGATAGAAATATGTATACCAAAGTAGGCAGAGGAGAGAAGATCCAAGAGAGGAGAGATAGAGCCCATAAGGCATCAGACATGTTAGCATAGCCAGTTATTACTCAATATGCAGGCCCACATACAGAGTATCTATGAGCAGATCTTGCTAGAGAATAAAAAGTGTAAGTAAACACAGCAATCCAGATGTGGGGAAACCCCCAGTGATGATCTCTAAACCTCGAGTTCTTGGTGAGTCCTGAGTGACCAGCTGTCAGCTCCATCCTACTTCCACTGTTCCAGGCAATTACGTCATGTCTAAATCTGCCTCCTGGGATTAAAAACTCCTACTCTGTCTTCCAGCTTCCATCTTCTTGCTGGTCAACAAATATTTTTTGTGTGCCTTTTGTATGTCAGGCACAGGTTAAACATTTTGAAGGTGATGATGCCATGTAAAAGCACTTAGGCACTGGGCTGGGAAGGTGGCTCAGTGGTAGAGTGCTTGCCTTGCATGCATAAGGCCCTGGGTTTGATTCCTCAACACCACATAAGCAGAAAAAAAAAGCCGGAAGTGGTGCTGTGGCTCAAGTGGTAGAGCACTAGCCTTGAGCTGAAGAGCTGAGGGACAGCACCCAGGTCCAGAGTTCAGGCCCCACAACCAGATTCCCCCCCCCAAAAAAAGCACTTAGGCACATGTGTTTTTAACGTTTGCTCCCCTAAAATGTCTGGCCATACTAGAGAGATCTTCTGTCTGCAAAACGTTCCGGTTATTACTGATCATTTAAAATTCTGCTGCATCACTGAAGGCAAAACAATATGCCTTCATTTGCTCGTCCCAAAAGCAACTAGAAAATTAGGATGTAACCAGAGAGTGGGCGCAAATACCTCAGTATAGGAGATGCTATAAGATTCAGTGAGCGCTCTATTTCTTGGAACCTGGCAGGCTCTTGGCAGGTGTTCTGGCTGGCTAGGGTCACTAGGGTTGAGGGTTTGTTTTTCTAGGGAGGCATCTGGGGCAGGATTACTCACCGTGGATAACCCATGACCACTTTGGGGCAGACTAAGCCTAAAGTCTTCATTCTTCTTCCTTCTGTCGCAGAGTAACCTTTCTCCTTCAGAAGTGGTGCAGTGGTCCAACCACAGGGTGATGGAGTGGTTGCGATCAGTGGACCTGGCAGAGTATGCACCCAACCTTCGAGGGAGTGGTGTCCATGGAGGTCTCATTGTGAGTGGCTCTCTGGGTTGGCCCACCTGCCTTGATTCTGGGTATTTCAAGACTAACTTCCTCTAGGACCACAATACACAGTAGTGAAGAGCTAGATACAATAACTTAATCTGAACTCCTTACCTAACTCAAAGTCTCAAAGAAAGTATCTTGGTAATTTATGGTGGGGGATTTGTATATGATGGAAACAAGATGGCTTCTGAAAAGCCTTCCTCAGCCTCAGTCCCAGAGGACTCCAGGTCAGTGAGTTGGGGACGCACCCCGAACAAGGCGGCTCCATCTGTTCCCAGAGGAATCCAACGGCCAGGGAGTGAAGAGGAAGGCATCCAATGAAGCTTCCTGATTCTATGATATGATCCTTATCGCCACTCAGCTCTGTCAAGTGACAAAGCCAGAGGGGAAATGTGGAGGTGATGGCTTGGATGTCATCCAGAGGAGACTGGCAGTCAGCCTTATCAAGGAAGTCCTTGTTTTCTGCCAGTCTGTGAAAATGCAGCAATCAGTCAGCAAACATGCTAGTTAGTGTCTCCTCTGAGTTGAATCTTGTACTGACAGAGAGAAGGGACTGGGCCACAGCAAGTGGATGAGCTTCAGCCCTGCTCTGACCTGGGAAGCAGTTTCTCACTGACGCCCTTCATGGGGCCATCTGTGCTTGCTGCTTGCTAGGTTTGTCTGTGGTTTCTTCTTAGATCCTGGAACCACGCTTTACTGGAGACACTCTGGCTATGCTTCTCAATATTCCACCTCAGAAGACACTGCTCAGGCGCCACCTAACCACCAAATTCAACGCCTTGATTGGTCCCGAGGCTGAACAGGAAAAGCGAGATAAAATGACCTCACCCTCTTACACACCACTGACTACTACAGCCAAAGTCCGGGTGAGTTGTCAGACCCTTTCTGATTGGCTGTGGGGGCCTGCCTTCTAGGGGTTGTGATGTACACAATGGCTGGCACATACTTGGAGCCAAACCAGCTTTTGCTCTGGGAGGTTGGTACTGTGGTCTTTTGGTTGTTATTTGGTTTGGCCTCAGGAAGAAAGTAGAGCAGGTTTCTGTACACAGAAGCCACATGCAGAAAAAAAATCTCTTCCCTGCGTGAGAAGAGAGAACTTATCCTCTACCTAAAAGCTGCCTTCACCCATCTTGCAAAGTAGATGAGTTATATGTCTGGCTTTCTTCATTTAGGCCCATCTATGTGACGCAGTTCCATGGGATCATGGGCAAAAGCTATCACATCAGAAAGGGAGCCCTTCTACTCTTGGCTGGTTCTGCTTGTTTTATTATGAGGTTGTCCAAACATCTGGGCTTCCCAAACCCCACAGAGGTCAGCCTGAGCTATGCCATTCTTATACTATGTCCTGGACCACAGATTGGCCTGTCTTCAGCAAGTATGTTTGTGTCTAGCTTCAACTCCTGCTCAGACCTCCTTCCCCAGGGAGCAGGAAGTACAGCAGAAACAGTGCTGAGCCCAGCTCAGACAAGGAGGAAAGAGCGCCAGGCCAGGGGTGCTCAGTGCCCAGCCCTGCAGGGTACTGGGTACATGCTGCTCGGAAGATACCTATGTGGTATCTTATGTAACGTAGCATGCCCTCCCTCGGGACTGGGCTGAGTGCTGGAGTAGTCCACCAACTCCCCCAGCTCCTCTTGGGAAATACCTGTCATTGGTGGGTCAGCAAGCGTGAGTTCTACATAATCTCAGAGAAGCAGCTCTTCTTGTTCAAGATCCCTTGGATTTTCTTGAGCATGATCTATGGGAGTTTCCTGCAGTTTTCCTTATTTTTCCTCCTCTTAGTCCTGCTCTTTCTAAATCAGTATTATGATAGTGATTCACAGAGGTGTTACAGTTACATAAGTCAGTTAATTGGTACATTGCTTTTTTGACAGTGTCTCCCCTTCCTCACTCTCTCCCATCCCCACCCACAGGTCATATAATTCATTTTCAACATAGTGTCTAGTGAGTACCACTGCTGCATTTGTTCACCCTTTGTCCCTCCATTTCTCCTCCCTGTTTATCTCCCAGACAGATAAACAGACGAAACAACACAAAGAGCAAAATCTTCTTGCTTCCATTTCCTGGAGTTCATTTCAATAAATATTATATTATATTATCAGAGGTATCTTTGTACTGTGTGTGAATGTCTACAGTCCTGTATAGTCCATTACGTTCTGGTGTATTTTAGATCTCGCCTCTTCATGTGAACAGGCTTGCTCTTCAATATTGGCTTGGTGAGATTCTTCTCATAATCTTGTGTTTGCTGTGTTTTAGCCTAGGAAACTTGGATTTTCACACTTTGGAAACATGAGAAAAAAGAAGTTTGATGAGTCCACAGACTACATCTGCCCAATGGAGCCTAGTGATGCTGTCAGTGACAGTCACAGGCTCTACAGTGGCTACCGGAGCCTCAGCCCCCCGGACACCCCTGAACTGGATGGGCTGGACCAGGTGGGACAGAACAGCTGAGCCCCTTGTCACCTGCCCTCTCTGTGCACCTGAGAGCTCACAGTATAACACTGTGTGTGTCACCATATAACCGCACTTCATCTCCTCCCGCCACGTGCATGACTCGCAGAGAACATTCCAGCAATTGTGTACCCCCTACTCTCCCAGGCCAGCCTCTCTTCACACCCTGAGGTGGCCAGGATACGCAGTGACACCTCTTCAGAGGGGCCAGGTTTGGGGGACTTTTGCCAAAGGCAGACGCAGGAGGAAAGATTTTTACATTTTTAGCTGTTCTTAATATCATCTTCAGCTCTCCTGGAAACAAGAACACAGCCGCAGGACGATCCCAGGAGGCACTGCTCTTAGTAGCCTCCCCTGTGCTCTAGCTGAGGGAAAGTTCAAGTGCCTTAGGCCTGTGGGCCACAGAGTCTTGGCTGAGATCAAAGGACGAGCAACAGGGATTTCTGCCATGGTGACAGTGCAATTGGGTTATACCATATTACAGAGGTGGTCCTTCCTTCTTTCTGATAATAAAAAACAATATTTATGTAGAAAGCAAACAGCTCACTATATCTGTTACTTGTTGGGGATGAGAGTCGGCCATGCCTGCACATAGAGTGTTACTAATTGCACAGTTTAAGAGCTTTTTTGGGGGGGGGGGGGGAGAGTCCGGTCGTGGGGCCTGAACTCTGGACCTCTGGGCGCTGTCCCTCAGCTCTTCAGCTCAAGGCTAGCGCGCTCTACCACTTGAGCCACAGCGCCACTTCCGGCTTTTTGTTCCTCTGCTTATATGATGCTGAGGAATCGAACCTAGGGCCTCATGCATGCAAAGCAAGTGCTCTACCACTGAGCCACCTTCCCAGCCCAGTTTGAGAGTGTTTTGCAAGGAGTGAATTCATTAATCAGGTGTGCACTCAGTACACCTCAAGGGGGAAGGAGGGACCCCCCACCCTTTATTTCTGTTTGTATCATTCCAAGGAGGTCTGTGGCCTCAGGCCCTACCTTCCTCTGTGAAGCTGGGCTCTCATGTATAGTCTGGATGTAGTTCCCATCTATCAGCCAGGCACATCCCCAAATTGGTTTCCCTTTGGGCAGCACAAGCCCCAAGAGAAGAGAGGGAGGCAGGAGTTGGGCAGCCTGGCTGGCAAGAGTATTTTTCCATGTGTCTTGCCTGCTTCTCGTTAGCGTTGTTAGGGATCATCTATGCGTGCTGGCAGAGCCTAAACAGATCTAGCCTCTTGATTTAGAGGCTGACTAGCTGATAATGGGACCTCCAGATGGGCTCTGTCTGGCTAGAGACTGAGGGAAACACATACTATGCCAATCTGAGCTCCTGCCCATGAGATTCCAGTCTGCCGCAGGCTGGTGTCTGGCTCCACCAGGTCCCTCGGGCCTCATCTGTAGAGGAGTAAGAGCAGCATCATAACCAGCTGACCACAAGGGAGGGTGACAACCCCATTATTATACACTGAGTCCGCCCCAAATGGAGGCGATAGTAAGATTTATTTCTTATATGATGGGCAGCCTCACACATGGCTTGTTCTCCGAAGCCATCACCTCCCCTAAAGTCCAGCTGATGAGGCTGTGTACACAAGCTTTTCATCTGGTAACACCGTCATGTGGTCCTGGTGCCCAGGGCCAGTGAATGACAGGTGTGAACACCTGGCCACTGCTGTTGCAGAGTGGATCAAACCAGGCTTTGCCCCTTGTTTCTTATCATGTTCTACTCAGCGAGTCTGCATGTGCCTGTTTTCACACGCTGCATGGGATTGTTTTGCCACTAATTTTCTGTGCAGCTTTGTGGACCGCAGTTTTCCCACCTTCCAAGTCCACAATGCCTCATTACCCTGAGGGAAGAAGGAGCAGGCCAGCAGAACCTGAGGAGGAGGGCAGGGAAAGGAGGCTCTTGAGCAGAAAGGCAACAGTTTCCTGAAGATGCTGGCCTGTACTGGGACTGTGGTGCCTAGGTTCCTGTTGGTGCCTGGAAATGGTAATTCCACTCAGCATCCTGGAGACCTTCATCTCTACTGCTGTCTGTCCCTGGAAATGGCTTGGAAACTGAACTTGTGCAGAGGCCCGCTTCTGCCAGGCCCTGCCTGTGCCCTGCTTTTCTGAACCCTGAGTGCTGATACCAATGGATGCTTGGGAGAGAGTGCGCATGCTCTGCAGGAGGCTGGACACCTTTCCTCAGGAGCAGAAGCAGCATGAGCTCCACCACCTGTCACTCCTCAGAGGCTGGGCTACTCCATGTCACTTCTGCCAGGGAAGCATGTCCTAAAGTAGCTATGCCCATGTGGAATGGGGTTTGCATACTGTCCCTGCAAGTCGCATGCTGTAAACAGGTGTGCTGACCAGGCTGCTGCCCGTTTTACAGATGGCACCTTCGGAAGTCACTGTGACGCAGATAGGGCTCCTCTCCCAAGACATTCACCGCCTTACGGTAGGACCCTGCTCCTCTCCTCGCAGTAGGGCAAGTGTTGGGGAAGCCCATTGAACTTGGCATGGTGGTATTCAGGGGGCGGGGGCATAAAGGAGGATGCTTAACCAGGAGTTGGAAACTGAGCCATCCCTGAGGCAGACAGCAGCCCAGGAGTCTCTTCCATTGGCTGGACCTCTGGAATGCTCATAGGCCTGGAGTTGGAGCCAACTAAGGCATGCTGTCTTGAGTCCTCTTCCTCGGAGCTGGTGAGAATTCTCAGTAGCTCTCGGTCACCTGTTTTATGCATCCCAGAGCCCAGCCCTTACCTCCGCATCAACTCTCACTAGGTGAGATGCTATCCTGCCCTCTCTCCATGTGACACACGTGTTCTCACCACTCCTCTAACACCCTTGCTATGACAGGAAGCTAGAGGATCTTGCCATGCCCAGGAGAACAAACTAGATCATGGGAAGAGGCAGCTTGGCCTTGGAGGAAGAGGAGCAGCTTTGGAGGGAGACAGACCCAATCCCTATCCCAGTTTCACTTGTTGCTAGTGTTGAGACCTTAAGTGATCCTTGGTTTGTTGCCTATGAAGCAGGGAAAATAAATATCCCACTTGTGAGGCTTATCAGCAAACTAGAAAGGCAGCAGGAGGCCAGCCACAGAATGAATTTGTCTTTGAAGCTCCATTCTTCCCAGGGCACCTCTGTCCCCACATGATCTGCCCCTGAGCCTGGTAGCTGTAGTGTCAGTGCTGAGCCCCCTAGGATTGTGCTTTGCTTGATGATCTCCACTTGAGACATATTTAGAAGGCTAAGGGCAGGAGTATCTCCTAGGATTCACTTTAATGAAACTGTTACTTTCGTTTGTTTTGCTTTTCTCGGCCCACATGCTGCAACGGCTATACAACCTTGCCCTGTGATTTCTAGCAAGGCCTCTGGTGGACTTGAAAGAGCAAGTTTATCTCTAAGATGAGCAGGGTATTTTTAGGTCTTTTTTTCTTTCTTGTCTAGCCCAGAGCCGTGCACATACTGGGCAACTTCTCTACCACTGAGCTACACCCTCAGCCATTACCTTTCCCTTTACTGTATTCCGAACCAATGCCCAGTGTCTCTGGAAAACTCACAAGGTACTGGTGTCAGACGTAGCCATACGTTACTCTCCTCTGCTTGACCGTAGGGCAGCCTTTAGCCACAACTCTTGTTAAACTGCCCCCTTTGGCTGTGTCCTTTCAGACTCTGCTGAGCCAGGACCAGCTGCTGAATGACTCTCGCCTGGCTTCCCCCAACTCTGATGACTGGAGATGACATTCTTCAAAGCCGAGAGCCCGGAGAGTCACGCGTGGGGCCCTGAGTCTTCCTCAATGGGGAGCTGGCACCCAGCCATCCACAGAGCCCAGATGGGGCTAGCAGGGCGTCTGGGTGTGAACAAGAGCAAAGCAGAGCCATGGGACAGGTGTCTTGGAGGTGGACCTAGACACACCACAGTGTTTTGAACCAGACTTCTCTTACTACAGCCTTTCTACCTTTTATACTTTTATACATAGACTACGGATCACTGTTGTGTAGAGGGGAATGAGGTATCCATGCAGAGTGAATGGCCCATGCTGTCCCTAGAAACTGACAGGGGAGGCAAAGGGGAAGAGCTGTTAGTTCATAAAACCACTGCTGGGTATGGGGAGTTCTGATGAGCTGTCTAGGTTGGACAAGATTATAACCAGGAGCTCTGAGAGCTGCTTCACAGAAGCGTGTGTTTCCATTCAAGGGAATCTGGCCAGTGAGAGCATTTAGATTGAGAGCCAAGCAAGGATACGGGGGCTTCTCCCTGCTGTCCGAACTGTCCTTCATCCACCCGGATCAGCATCCGAGTAGGGAATAGCTAAGACACCCTACTTGACATGCAGCAGATACATCTCTGACTCCTTTCCTTAACATCCTCAAGTGCAATGTCCGATTACACAGTGCCCTTGGCACCACAAGCTCATTCTCTCCTTTAGAAAGTCACCATCCGCCCAGACAAACCTGTTTCTTCTCGAGTGTCTCCCATCTCACAACCAGGCACCACTGACCTACCTGTGCTCCAGCCATTCCCTTCTTCCCTGCAACTCCCTGGTTGCTCTAGTTCCAGCCTCATCTGTCTCCCCCCTGATTCTTGCAGCTGGTCTATTTGGCCCTTCATCTTACCAGCTGGTCCCGTCCAGATATTTTCCACCCTATTCCCAGGGAGATATTTCCAAAGCACTCTTCCAATCTTGTCATCCTTGTGGGTATTCTGCTCAAAACTGTTCAGTCACCAAATTCTCAGTGTTGAGCATCCTGGGCCTTTTTGCATCCTTAATCTATTTCCTTCAGGCCTTGATCCAGACATCCTCTCCTTGTGAACTCCATTTATCTCCCATTCCCTTTCATGGGTCCAAATCCTGTATCTCAAGCCCAGCACAGACACCTCAGGTGTCTCAGGAAGCAGCCCCTCATTTCCATTCCAGTTGCAGGTCATTTCTGTCCCACATCACTGTGGTCTCTGCCCTAGATGGTGCTTCACAACCTGCAATGAAGTAACTCTTGTCCTACTATGTATCTGCCCTGCTGAAGATCTAGTGTGGGTGGTATACTGTACAATTATCAGTAAGCCCCTATCCTGGGCCTCCAAGTGCTTTCCTTCTTGATCAGCCTCCTGCTCACCAACATCCTTTGTTGCTACCCTCCTCACATCAGTAGCACATCTCCTCTAGTTGTGACCACCAAAATGTCACTAGATCTTGGCAATAATGTTCCCAGTGGAGAACCACTAGGCTGAGAATGAAGTCAATATGGGAAGCCCAGGGATTGAAAATTTTGATGAGGTCAGTAGGAGTCCAAGAAAGAGAGACCCTGCAAGTCAGGACCCTGGCATACATCCTGGAGACAGTGTGGTAAGGGTGAAGATGAGAGGGAAGGCAGGGAAAGGTGTAAAGCGGGTGACAAGCATACCAGCACGGTCAGATCTGTGCTTCTGACCCAAGTCTGAGGGTAGTATCTTATCACAAAGTGCTCAGCTGTCTTTCCCTGGGTAAGGGATTTGCTGAGGATGTGCCAAACAGGTGAAGAGATGAAGGCCTTGAAACCATCCCTGGGTTTGACCACCGGTGGGCAACTCACAGATTGCTCCCTAGACCCACATTCCTCTCTTCCCTTCTCCTCTGCCCCTTTCTTCCCCTCCCCCTCCTCCTCGTACATGCTGAGTAAGGATCCAGTAGTACCAACTTCTAACACTGCTGCTATTATGTCAGGTTTTGGTTAAAGGGGGCGGGGGTACGAGGTGAAACAACTTGGGATTAAACAGATCCAGGTTTAAAGCCAACCCGGCTCCCTACTGGCTGAATGACCTGAGAATACTTGTTCTCTGAGCCCGTTTGCTCATTTGTAACTCAGAAAACAAAATTCCCCACAGGAATTCTGGCTTGTTAAGAGTGTTTGGTGAGTTCTAGACGATGTGCTTCCCACTCGGGTAGCAGGACAGCAGTGTGCCATGCTGGCCCTGGTCAGAAGGTGGTGACGGTGGTCCCTGATGGACAGGATTTAAAGCAGAGCTTCTGGAACCTGAGTGCAATGTCAGAAGTTCTGCGTGTAACCAGCCCTACCCTGAGCCAGTGCCAGGACACAGCTAGTACTGAGGATGCTTAGAAAATGTGCTCCAGGCCTCCATCTGCTGGGAGGATTTCCCAGAGCCCACCTACCCTGTGGATTTACTGCTGTGTTTCAAAGGAAATGGGAAGAAAGATTGTACATGGAGGGTGCCTGAGTCGCTTGTAGATCTGACCATTAAAGCCAGTGCTCTAGACAGAGAGGTTCAAGAGACGTTCGAGGGAGTTGGTGTGACCCTTCATGGATCCTGGAGAATTCTAACATTGGCCCCATTTCCAGATATGACCACGACACTCCCCTGCCCCACCCCCCATGGACACAAAGAAGCAAACTCTCAAGCAGGGAAGAAGGCAGGGCCTCCTCTACCCAGCAGGTCCCCCACAGAGCCATGTTTCATGGACTAGTTACTGAGAACTTAGTTTATTTAGCTAAGGCGGAGGAACATACTACAGTGGAGCTCTTTTTGCTTCTAAGCTAGGAGCCTTAGGAATCACTAAGTCTCCAGCCCCTTAAGCCCTTCTTCCTAGGCTCACAGCCCAGAGAGGAGTACCGGTGGGTGTGTCTCAGGGTGCATGAGACACTTTACAAAACATCCCTGTTTAATATGATGAAGCCAACTCATTTAGAAATAGGAGCCCAGCACACTTGCTATCAACGTGGGAGGTGTTAGTAGGTGAAGATCATGTCCTTGGTATAACCCAGGTGCTCCAGGTTGGGGTGAACAGCTGACTGGACCATTGGTGGGGGGCCACACACCAGGATGAAGGTGTACTTTGCAGGGGGAGGGAGGTGCTCCTTGATCATGTCGGCGGTAATGTAGCCTGAGCTGTACCTCCAGTCTGAAATGAAGCAGAGCAGGAAAGAGCTGAGGGGGTTCCACATTATATTCCAAGCCCTTGGGGCCAGGGACAAGATTGGGGATGAGACTACAGAGTATGAAAAGTCTCTGCACTGCTGCTCTCTGCAGAAAGCCCTAGAAGAGCGTTATGTGGGTCCTCTGCAGTATTTACCCCAGCTTCCAGATTCACAGTTGGGACTCAGAAATCCCTGCCTGATTGAGCTGGAAAACAGGTGAAGTGAGCTCATTGGGCTAGTGTGCACTGGTGTGCAGGTGGGGGGGAGAGGGGGGAGAGACAGGGTGTGGTAGTGTTTGCTTGTTGGGCAGCGCCCTCTGCTGGACAGTAAGTCATATGCTGAGACAAACCGCTCAGCACAGTGAGGGAGATGCGCTCTGTATAAGGTGCTGTGTGCCTGGTGTTTGCTGGGTGCTGAGGGAAGCCACAGCTGCTGGTTAGGGCTTAGCATGCGAGCACCACTGTGCAGATGACAAGGGTATAGGAAGACAGGAGCATAGGGGTTCAGGTTGAAGGGCAGCCAGACATTTCATGCAGATAGGGACATGGGACACCTGCCTACCGGTTATTTCAATCTTCTCCCATGTAAATTCTTGCATTTGTTATAGGGACCCAGAGCCCTAGGTCTACCCCTCAAGCACAAGCCTCAAGAGAAAGAAAAAGAAACAAAAATAAAACAGCCACTGGTTCTTGGTGGTGGGGGTGGGGTGGGGTGTGAGTCAAGGGTTGGCCCTGACCCACACTGAGCAAGAGCAAGAGGGACCATACCAACAGGAGGCCTGTCCAGGGTATACCACACGCTGAACTGGTCTAGATGAGTCCTGGCAATTTCATCAAGCTCCTTTCTCATCAAGATATCATCCTCTGTCTAGAAAAGAAGCAACGTTGGAAAGGCCACTCCAGGGCGACCTCGGTGTCCCCCAGACTGCACCCCTCCTACCCCAGCTACCACCCTAGCTTAAGGACTCCAGAGAAACAAAGATGCTGCTGCTTCTCCTGTAGCCCAAACCTCCTTTCTAATGGGAGGAGTGCACGACTCCTCTATCTATGGTAGGACGAGGGCCACACGGTCTGGGTGGCTTACATCAGTCCTTGCTCTACTTCTTGCATTCATATCAAACATCAGGCCAGGAGGCCCAACTAAACTCAGTGCAAGGAAGAACCTTCTGCAAGGAAGGAAGGACTGAAGGTCAGATGGCAGGGCTGTGCCTGTGACCTAAACAGGAAAAAGAGACAGACAGTCTGTTGCCTCTGCTGGGGAAAAACTAAAAAGAGCTAGGGTCACTTGTCACAGACTCCAAGAAAGTCCACAAGACCTGGGTGATCCAACTCTTTATGACTGTTATCTTAGGAATTGTTGCTTCTAGGGTTGCTTCAGAAAATAATCTAAAAGCAATCAACCCTAGACACCGGTTTGCCATTCTAAACTTTATCATTCATAACTGAAATCTGAAAAGATGGGGTAGTAGATGGGGTAGTAAAATATAGTAGGATCTGACATTGACTGTGGATGAAAACATAGAATTAGTGAGAAGAAAATGGCTGCACAGTCATGCTTAGTGAAGACTATATTCTTACATGTACATGTTTGAAAACTATGCAGCATGTTTAGAAAAGCAGACAAAAAGGTAAGTAAAAATGTTTGTACTCTGTATCTCCCCAAATTTTCATGGAATCATCCTTGAGTTTTGTACTCAGCAAGAAAAACCCCAAAAAACAAAAAACAAAATATAGGTTAAGGAAGCAAGGTCAACATGCCGCTTGGGTCTGGCTAGGAAGACCGATTTCAGGCACGTAGGGAAACAGGCCTGCCCTCAGCTTTGTCAGCTGCCAAGGGGCAGGTGGAGCTCATTAAACTCTTTCACAGCTGCAGGTTCCCAAGCTGGGTCAGTGAGGGAGGAATGTAAGCAGAGCCCAGCTCAGTAAACCATCCATCCTGCCCCCACGGGGCCTGGGCTGGCTTGGAAGAACTAACCTGGTTGGCAAAGAGGAGGGATATCTTGGTCTTGTCATGGGGGTTCTTGGTGATGTGGCGAATGAGCTGCAGCATGGGTGTAATGCCTGGAACACAGTTAGGGGCAGGCCAGCTTTCTCCTGCCTCTTGTGCTAGAGCCTCTGGCC